TTATCCTAGTTATTTTATGTATCAATAGTTCTCTTTTCATTGCTGAGTAATACTCCACGGTATATATGTACCACAGTTTGTCTAACCATTGAAGGATAGCTGGGTATTTCAATTTTGGGGCTACTACACATGAAGCTGCTCTAATCACTCATAGATAGGTTTTCTTTTGAAAGTAAGTTTCATTTCCCTGGTGTAAATGCCTGGGACACAATTATTGGATTATATGGCAGTTGCATGTTTAGTTTTAAAGAAATTGCTGAATTGTTTTCCAAAATGACTGTATGTATCATTTTACATTATCACCAGTAATATATGAGTGATCCAGTTTCTTTGTATATGGTGATGAAACTATTTTACATAATAGCCATTCTAACAGGTTCATAGTGTTATTTCATTGTGATTTTAATTTATATTTCCCTAAGGTTTAGTGATATCAATCAATTGTTCATGTGCTTGTCTGTTGTGTGTATATTCTCTGAAGTGTCCCCTTATGTCTTTTGTACATTTTCTAATCATATTTGGGGGAGGGGGTGCTGGGGATCAAACCCAGGGCCTTGTGCATGCAAGGCAAACACTCTATCAACTGAGCTATATCCCCCACCCTCTAATTGTATTTTTTAACTGTTAAGTTTTGAGAGTTCTTCATATATTCCTTTGTTAAATATGTAGTTTGCAAATATTCTCATACCATCTGTAGCTTGTCCCCTTAACAGGACTTTTTTGTAGAGCAAAAAGTTTTCATCTTGATGAAGTCCAATTTGTTGATTTTTCTGTTTATAGATCATGTTTTTGGTGTCTGCCTAGCTCTAGATTCCAAAGATTTTCTCCTGTTTTTTTCCTAAATATTTTATAATTTTACATTTTGCGTTAAGTTCATATTTCATCTTAATTAATGTTTGTTTAAGGTGTGAGGTTTAGTTCAAGGTTTATACTTTTGCTCATGAACATCCTATTGCTCGGCATCTTTGAAAGACTCTTTCCTCCAGTTAATTGCCTTTTTCATCTTTGTGAAAAATCACTTGGGCATATTTGTGTAAGTGTATTTCTGTAAGTGTATTTCTATTCTGTTCTATTGGTCTTCTTGTCTATTCTTCAGCCCGTACTACCACATAGTCTCGATTACTGTAGCTATAAAATAAGTCTTGAAATTAGGTAAATGGATTATTTCTGCTTTATTCTTTTTCAAAATGTTTTAGTTATACTAGTTCTCATAGCCTTTGCCTTTCCATGCAAATTTTAGAATAATCTTGTTCATTTCTAAAAAACAAAAAAATCTGACTGGAATTTTATTGAGATCTGTATTCATTCTTTCCATCAATTTGGAGAAGGCTGACAATATTTATGCTGTTGAGTCTTCCAATCCATGAACAGGGCTGTTTCTCTGTTCCTTTAGAACTTTGTTTTCTTTCATCAGCATTTTGTAGTTTTCAGCAGGAAAGTCCTGTACAAGTCTTGTTAGCGTCATACCTAAGCATTTCATCTGGTTTTTGAGTGAGTATAAAGGGATTGCATTTGTGGGCTGGGGTTGTGGCTCAGTGGCAGAGCACATGCCTAGCATGTGTGCGGCACTGGGTTCTATTCTCAGCACAACGTAAAAATAAATAAATAAAATACAGGTCCAATGAMAATGGAAAAAATATTTTTAAAAAAGGGGATTGCATTTGTAATTTTAGTAGGTCTACGTGTTCCCTTTTGATATTATGGGAAGATAATTAATTTTTGTATGTTTCTCTTGTATTCTACAATTTTGCTGCATTCACATATTAGTTCTAGAAGGTGTGTGTGTGTGTGTGTGTGTGTGTGTGTGTGTGTGTGTGTCTATGCATGTGTTTTGTAGATAGATCCCTTGAGATTTTCTATATATTCAATTATATCATCTGAAACTAGAGGGTATTGTGTTTCTTCCTTTCTGATCTGTGTGATATTTATTTCTTTTTTGCCTTATTTCACCAGTTAGAATTTACAGCACTATATTGAATAAGAGCAGTGAGACTGAACATCCTTGTATTGTTCCTAATCTGAGGGGAAGGCTTCAGTCTTTTTCCATTACCTGTAGGATTTTCATACATATATTTTTTTCTCAAGTTGAGGAGATACTTCTCCATTACTCTGTTTCTAAAGGATTTGATCATGAATGAGTATTGAATGTTGTCATATGCTTTTTGTATTAATTTATGTGACCAATGTGGTTTTTCTTCTTTAGCCAGTTACTATGGACTACTTGGCTGTTTTTGAATATCAAATCAGTTTTGTATCCATGGAATAAATCCCATTTGGTCATGGTGTGTAATTCTTTTTACACTGTGATAGATTTTATTTATTAATATTTTGCTAAGTGTATGTTGCATCTATATTCATAGAGGATATTGACCTGTAGGTTTTGTTTTGTTTTATATTGTCTTTGTGTGGTTTTGGTATCAGAGTAGTAATAACTTCATAAGACAAATAGAAAGCATACTCTTCCATGCAAATTTTAGATTAATCTTGTTTTTTCTATTTTTTGGAAGAGAATGTGTGGAATTGATATTAATTCGTTCTTAAATAGTTGATAGAGTTCTTTTGTGAAACCATCTGGACCTAGAGATTTMTTTTTTGAGAATATTAAAGTAAAAAATTTTAATTCCCTTAATAGTTATTGAGCTTTTCAAGTCACTGATTTAACATTGGGTAAACTAGGACAGTTTGTATTTTAGGAGGAATTAGTCCATCTCATTTAAGTTGTCAAATTTATGTTTATAGAGTTGTTCATAGTATTCTGTTGGGATTCTGCTTAGTGATATCTCCTGTTTCATATAATGGTAATTTGTTGTTGCTCTATTTTTTCCCCAGACTTTCTAGAGGTTTGCCAATTGTATTGATCTTTAAAGTAACCCTTATTTCATTGATTTCTCTATTATTTTTGTTTCTAATTTCATGACTTCTGCTCTTTATTTCCTCCTTGCTTTGGGTTTATTTTGTTGGTGGTAGTTTTTGTTTTGTTTTGTTTTGTTGTAATGGTTTTATTTTTAGTTTTTATTTTTGCTTTGTTTTGTTTTGTTTTTGGTACCAGAGATTGAACCCAGGAGTGCTTAACCACTGAGCCACATCCTTATCCTTTTATCTTTTTATGTTTTATTTTGAGACAGGCACTCACTATGTTGCTCAGGGCCTTGCTAAATTGCTGACGCTGGCTTGGGGTGGAGCTTACCTTATTGATTTGAGACTTTTTTATTTTATAATATATACATTTAGTATTATATAGTTTCCTCTTAATATCACTTTTACTGTCTTACAAATTTTGTTATGTCATACTTTCATTTTTATTCAGTTAAATATATTATTTATCTTCCCTTGAGATTTCCTGCAAAAGAAATTAAAGGGATATGAATAGATAAAAAAAGAGCTCAAACTATTTCTGTTTGCCTTGAAACTTTTTCTTTGACCCAGGAATTATTTAGAATTTTCTTTTTAGTTTCCAGGGTTGAGAGATTTTCCTCCTTTCTGCTGTTGGTTTCTAGCTTGATTCCATTGTGGTTAGAGGACCCATTCTATATGATTTCAATTTCTTTAAACCTGTTGAGATTTGCTTTGTATTCCGAGATGTGGCTTATCTTGGTGTGTGTTCCGCGGTCACTTGAAGAGAATGTGCATCCTGCTCTTGTTGGATGTTGTGTTCTCTAAGTGTCAAATAGATTCTGTTGGTTAGGGGTATTTTCGGYTTTTCTGTATCCTTGCTGAGTTTTTTTCTGTTTTCTCTATCCATTGTTCAGTGAGGGCCTTGAGGTCACCAACTGTAATTGTGGATTTGTTCAATTCTCCTTTCAGTTCTGCCAGCTTTGGTCCAATATCTGGCAATTCTTGTTTGACTAATACCCKTGTGGAACTTGTGAGTCTTCTTGGTGGACAATGCTCTTATCTTTATATAATGCTCCTCTTTGTCTCTGATAACTTGCTTTGCTCTGTAGTTCACTTTATCTTACACCAATAGAGCCATTCCTAACTTTCCTTGATTTGAATGACATGTATTTTCCTTTCCTGTTCCTTTCAACCTGCCAATACCACTATTTGAAGTGAATTTATTGTAGACAGTAGATAGTTGGGTCATTTTTTTT